CCTTCCTAGACCTGGATGGAGAGGGAGGACCTTGGACTTCCCACAGGGCAGGGAACCCTGACTGCTCTTTGGACTGGAGAGGGAGGGGAGGGGGAGGGAAATGGGAGGCTGGGAGGAGGCGGATACTTTTTTTTTCTTATTCTCAATAAAATAAAAAAAAGGATATTAAAAAAAAAAGACTGCTTTGTGGCATAGGGACAAGATTTGTCCATTGTAAAGAGCTTGAACTTATAGGTCAGGATAGGGGCCTTTACCAATACTTTGACGTTGTGAAGTCTCAAGGCCTTTTCCTTTTCCCTGTTGTTCCAAAACTTTTGCCTCTTCTCTGAAACAAATTTTAAACATTAATTGAGGTCCATCATCAATGACTGCTGAAACTAACTGAATCCAATTATGTGGCATTGTTTTAATGCTAGAAGACAATAACTTTATCATCTCCCTAACAAATGTGGAGTGCAAACTGTAAGTTACAACAGCTTGCTTAATTTCTTTTATATTATTCATTTCTATAGGTGTCCATCTACTTTCTTTGGATCACTTTGGGTCTTTAGAACTTTATGCTTTGTCAGAGTAGATTAAATGGAAAGAAGCTAAAACCCTGGGTATATCAACTCTGAAATCTACTGGCAATGTTAAATTCTGTCCTTGTGCCTTCTTTCCCTGTTCATCAGCTCCAATAATTTCCTCAATTATTTCAAATCTTTTTCCTATTGTCTTTTGTAAAGCATGAATCTCCTGGCCTGTACATATTCCTGGTAATTTCATTGAGGCACATAGCCTCTGGTCCTCATTCTGCACATGTGATTCCAAGGTTTGAAGTTTCTCCTTTAAATATAACATCTCATCCTTGGACATTATTTGAATAGTGTGCAGATTGCCATCTTGGAGATTGTTTATCTACTAATTTATCATAACTTCTTAACAAATTTTGACTGTCAAATTCAATAGTATTAATTCTTTCAGATAACTTTTTAGTACTCTTAGATATGGATTCAATTTTGTTCATCAAATTAATGTTATCTTTTTAATAGTATTAATTTTGTCTGGTAACTTTTGATTTTCAATGTTAATAATCCTGTCAACTACCTGTTCATTGTTTGCATCTAAAGACTGTATCATTCCTAAAAGTGCAATATTCTTTCTTAATGATAGAAATGGAGAGGAAAACTGAGTCCCAATCTCCAACAAATTGAAGTATCACCTTAACCAAATATGATTCACATAATACAATCCATATTATTAGCAAAAAAGTTACTAAAAGTTTCAATATTAATGTAGTCTGACATATTGATTTATTAATTACATGTTCTGTGATTTTGTAAACTGTAATCTTTATTGTCCAGCAGATATTATGGTTGCAGAGTTTTGATTAGAAGCAATGCAACCAGTGGTGACAGAAATGTTCCTGGGCCACTTCAATTTTCGAGCCGCTTTAATTTTCCTCCTTGGCAATGGTCAAATACCGAGAAATATGTTTTGCTTGACAAATTACAAGCAATTAAATCAATTCCATACACAGAGCAAGCAACAAAAAAAAAAAGACCACCTTAACTCACAGGCAGGGAGCAATATATATTGCCATGTGGCAAGGAACCGCAGCAGGGAACATGGCAATCATGCATGCACTTGGGAAATTTCCAAGTTTCACATGCGGTACACTTTGCTGTGGCAGGCTCTACAAAAAATATACTTAGGTAAAAGCAAGCCAAACAGGGATGGTAGGGAGACTGTCTGGGCCATGGACCAGCTAGGACATTAGGCTGTCCACCCGATAGGCATGAAGTCTGAATCCATGTGATGGCCAAATGAAGATGGATGCTTAAAAAAAAATTCATACTAGCTCAGAATTGAGAAATCGATGGTTATTTATTTAGGGGTAGATTCACAAATTAGAATCCTTTGCTTGAATGGGGATCAGACTGGATCCCGCAGCTGGAAAAAAGAGGCCTGAGGCATGCTCTACATTGGCATATATAGTACAAGAGGCCACACACCAGTGGCCAGGTAACTGTTGCCTGAGGTTTCTGTCCTGTCTGGTTTCTATCCTCCCACAAGGTCTCAGAAACATTTAGCCCCAAAGAAGTTACACAGAGATCTATCTTAATGATAAACTGATTGGCCCATTAGCTCAGGCTTCTTATTAACTCTTATAACTTATGTTAACCCATTATTCTTATCTATTTTAGCCACCATGGCTTGGTACCTCTTTCAGTGGGACAATTACGTCTTTGTTCTTCAGTGTCTGGACAGGACTGGTAAGGAATGGGCTTCCTTCTTCCCAGGATTCTCCTGTTCTCATTGCCCTACCTCTACTTCCTGTTTGAATATTTTTTAAAGGAAACTTTTTTCCATTCCCTCTTTGTTCATTTCATTTAGAACTCATTTTGTCACAGTCCAAATTCTGCCTATAGATTGGGGTTGCATCTTGTTAATGGATGGTGTCTGTTACCATAATCTTTCTCTAAGGCATAGCCTAGCCTGGCCAGGGATATGTGTTCAGTTCTCTGAACCTTAACATCAATAACTTCTACAGTTGGTGTTTCTCTTTCTTCCAGTGAGATAGGTTTAGTCATTCTAAAGAAGGAGACTGTTAAGGAACTTGCAAGCAATTCAGAACATGAATAGATGATAACTTTAGGAAGAAAACTGTGCTCATATACAATCTGTGTAACCTAATCATGATGAAAAATATGATTTAGGGCTGGGTGTGGCTCACCCCTTTAATTCCAGGATGAGGGAGGCAGAGGCAGATAGATCTCTATTACTCTGAAGCCAACTTGGAATCCACAGTGAGTTCCAGGACATCCAGAGCTATATAGAAAGAACCTGTCTCAAAAAAAATTATAAAAGATTGCATGTAAGATTTGGTTTTAAAGGTAGAGTTATAAAAAAATAGTTACAGGCTGAGATACAGGAGAAAAGAAAGTATAAGCCTCCGTGAGATGTTTATAGAACCCTGTGCCACAATTGTATTCTACATAAATTAAGTGTAGGCATAAACTGAGTTGACTATCACTCAGAGCTGCTTATTCAATATGGTGGCTCTTGGTCAACTACAGCCTTTGGGTACCTGGGATGTGCCTGGTCTAGATTTAGAGATGCCATGAACATGTAATACACACTGAAATTGAATTTGATTTTAAAAAGCATGCAAACTATTTCAACAATATTTACAGTGACTATATGCAGAAATAATGATGTCTTAGTGCTTAGAATAAATAATGTACAATATCAATTTTTAAGAATGGAATTTTTCAAAATATATGAGACAGTTTTAGTCTGTTGCATAACTCTTTATGCCACACCACAGTCTTTAATGTGGTAGCACTAACAATTTCACACGTAGTGGCCAACACTCTTCATGAGTGGTAAGTTTCCTATAAACAAAATACCCAAATAGCCTGAGTGGTGGGTTTTGGCATCTATCTAATAGAAGTACTGTTCATTCTGTAGTTTAATTTTATATCAAACAAAACTATTCAGGAATAACAGATACTAAAATGACATCAGCACTGAAGGTTTGTGAACCTGAACATAGAGGAAATACCCAAAGTGACATTATATAATCAGTGAATGAGTATACATATCATAGATAAGAATAAATTACTATGTCAATGTTAGATGTCCTGAGTGTGATCATTTGGATATGGTTGTATAAGATAAATTGTTTTCCCTTGAAAATATGTAGGAACATTTGAGACTCAATTTTATTTAGTTTATTTGGTTCTATGGCATAGGCTCTCACTGTATTCATTTTGGACCCCAGTAATCTTGTCTTGACCTCCTAGTTGCTAAGATTACATGTGTAAACCACTACATCTAGCCATCTTCAATCATTACCACCATCTCTATAAAACCTCAACTAATGATAGATGGATTAAAGAAGAGTGGGTAGAACAACTGATGTCTTAGATAAAATATAGTCAGCAGTTCCTTGAACTATCCTTGTAATGGCTCACCTAATTTGATATATTTGATAGCCAAAAGAAATGTTTATACCAATGAAGAAACCTTTCACATGAAAAAAAATACATAAAACAGAATAGAAATCAACTAACAACTAAGAAACTGAAACCCAAAACTGCATTGTAGTTCTTAATTGCACTTTCAATTAAGATGATTTATCCTATTGATAATGAAAATTCAGACTGCTTATTAGGGTTCTTTATTTCGTTCTATGGGTACGTAAGAAAATAGAAAGTGTAGATTCTTCAGGGCCTTGGGGGATTGGGGTGTACATGTATCTAAGAAGATGTACTCCTCCAGGAAGAAAGATGGCTTCTGTTCTGTCAAATCAGATTCAGAAGAATGTTTTCAACCTCTTCCCGCACATCTCTCCATTTGCACAGAGGAGAAAATCCTGGAATCAAAATACTTTTTCATAAGGAATCACAGATTATCAGAGGAAACAGATAAGAATCACACTTCCCATTTTACCTTTCCTTCTTGCTTGAGGGCGATTTGGGTAATTTATCCATTCTCGTCTCGCAGATACAGGGATAACAATTTTCACACTTAGTATAATCTAGTCTTGTTCTAGATAAAAATGCACATCTTCTGGTTTTATGACTTAAATTTGCTATTTTCGAGTCACTAAAGAACAAAAACAATGGGCATTTTTTTTTTTAATTTTGAGCAGTCGCTGAAATATCATGGTTTGGAAATTCTATATAAAGAACATATGAAGAATATGGGAACTATTACTATTTGGAACAATGAATTGTACCCTGTCTCTTGTATTTTAAATAAAAACTGTTTGACTAGTAGTCAGACAGAAAGTATAGGAGAGCGACCAGGCAAAAACCAGAGGTGGGGCACCAAGGATTCTGGGAGAGGAGAGAGTCAGCCAGTCTGCAGTCATCATCCAGACACAGAGGAAGTAAGATGTGACAGCCTAGCTGAAAAAGGTACCAGTCCGTGTGGCTAACACAGACAAGAATTATGGGCTAATATAAGTTATAAGAGTTAATAAGAAGCCTGAGGTAATAGGCCAACCAGCTTATAATTAATGTAGACCTCTTTGTGATTTCTTTGGGACTGAATGATTGTGGGACTTGTTGGGACAGAAACCTTGGTCAACACTACTATACTATTCTATATGAAGAATGTGGGAACTATTGCTTATAATTTCATCACTAAAATGTTTTATCTCTAAGCTCATTAATAAGAAATGGTCTCTTGGTCATCTTGGTCATACCAAAATTCCTCTTATCCCACTCTCACAGCTTTTGGTCATGACATAAAACTGATTTTAAATATTTCCCAAGGAATTATTTTATGCTAAACCTGCTTTCTCACTTACATTTTGTCAGTTAATGGCTATGTAGAAACAATAGTGTGTAGCACATGGAACAAGTTCTCATTTGCTTGTGCCTTAAGGAGAAAGGGAATATTTGTAGTATAGTCTCAGGTAAGGGCTTGTAACTAATGTTTGGGGCTCTTTTCCCTTTTCTTTCCCCCACCTCCCACTACTTCACAGTTAATGGGTCTTCACTGAAGCATAGTAATCTACTGAATTCTCTGCATGCATAGCAACCCTGATTTCTGGAGAATGATAGATTAGAAACCATAACTCCTCTTTTGTAAAGAAGAAAAAAATAAATGCTGTAAAATAAAAAAAAATGATTAAAAATTAGAAGACAGAGCAATTAGTAAATGTGCTAAAACAGAAAGACTGTGAGTTCTAGTTCAACATGGGTTATGTAACAAAACCAGAAGTCAAAAAGTAAATAGGTAATATAATCCTGTAAAAAACCTGCAGAAATCACATTCCTACTCAGGCTGAGTGATGAAGGAGGGTCATCTGTCTATGTGTTACTCTCATTGGTTAATAAAGAAACTTCCTTGGCCCTTTGATAGGACAGAAAATAAGGTAGGTGGGGTAAACAGAACAGAATGCTGGGAGGAAGAAGGCAAGGAGGTAGACAATATAGCTCTCCTCTCCAGATGGATGCAGGTTAAGATCTTTCCCGGTAAGCTACTACCTGTGGTGTTACACAGATTATGAAATATTGGTTAAAGCAAGATGTGAGAATTAGCCAGTAAGAGGCTGAAACTAATGGGACAGGCAGTATTTAAATGAATACAGTTTCTGTGTAATTATTTTGGGTCAAGCTAGCCCATGGCTGGGAGCTAGGTGGTGGGAAGCACCTTGCAGCTCCTTCTAGAGCTGAGGTTTTAGCAGGGGTTTGACCAATTATATACATCAACTACAAAAAAGTTAAGTGAAAGCTTTAGATAATGTTGCTCATTTTATCTGTCAGCATGATCCAGTCTTAACATGTATTTCTAAGCTTTTGATTTATTTTTGCTATGCACATCATAGAACATACAGTACTAATGTGCGTTCAGTATTATATTACTATCAGCCATCTTCTAGACTATTTCTCCTCCCTGTGTAACACTTGATCAAAATATGTGATATGCATCTTGTTCTTACCCATGGGCTTCATAGAGAATGAGGAAAGCCATGAAAATTGAAAGAAATGCCTTTACACATATTTAAACAGGTGTAGCAGAAAAAGGGCCACTAGTTCCCAAACTAATCACACAGAAACTGTATTAATTAAATCACTGTTTGGCCACTTAGCTCTAGCTTCTTATTGGCTAACTCTCATATTACTTTAACCCATTTTTATTAATCTGTGTATCACCACGTGACGGTGGCTTACCAACTAAATTCCTAGCATCTGTCTCCAGTGTCTCCTTCACTTCTCTCTGACTCTACCCTTCTTTCTCCCTTCATACAGCCTTTCTTTGTCTAGTTCTGTTCTATCATGCCATAGCCTCAAAGCAGTAATTTATTAGTTAACCAATAAAAGCAAAACATAGACACACCACCCACACCATTTTCCCTTTTCTGTTTAAACAAAGGGTAAGGCTTTAACTATAACAGAGTAAAATTACATACAACAAAACAGTTATCGAGCAAAAATTACAGTTGTAATATTTATATCTACTTTATCTTTTACCCTAACTAAGGAAAACTATATCTAGAAATTCTTCAACTCCATCAAAGACTTTAGAAGGATATAATATTACCTAAGTAAACAATAAGTGTAGAAGAAGCTGTGGGCCGCTTTCTGCCACCCAGCTTCTGGACACCGGCTAGCTTTACCCAAAATAACTACATAGAAACTGTATTCATTTAAACACTCCTTGGCCCAATATCTGTAGCCTCTTATTGGCTAACTCTCACATCTTGATTAACCCATTTCTAATAATATGTGTATCACCACGAGCTTTTGGCTTACCGGGAAAGATCTTAATCTGTGTCCATCTCAGAGAGGAGAGCCATGGCATATGCCTCACTGCCTTCTTCCTCCCAGTTTACTCCACCTACTTAATTTTCTGCCCTATCAAAGGGCCCAGGCACTTTCTTTATTAACTAATGAAAGTAACACATAGACAGATGACACTCCTCCATCATTTCCCCCTTTTCTGTTTAAACAAAAGAAGGCTTTAACTTTAACATAGCAAAATTATATATAACAAAATAGTTATCAAGCAAGAATTACAGTTACAATATTTATATCTACTGTATCTTTTATCATAACTATGGCTAAGTATAACTATCTATTTTCAACTCCATCAAAGACTCCAGGAGGATATAATATTCCCTAAGTAAACAAGATGTAAGCAACTTCTAAAACTCTAGAAATGACAGTTTGTCAGTTATTTTCTTCTGTGTCCTGCAGACCATCTACCAGACACTTTTATGAAGCAGGAACTCAAAGGACAGTGTCACCTTTGGACAAATTTAGCAATCATCTTTCTGTCAGCCCTACATGTCCAGTTTATTAAGCAGTCCAGGAAAGAGCAGTTTCTTGCCCAAGTGGCTAAACAACTCAATAAGGAGCCTCTTTGATGCCCATTTTCCCCTTGAAGTACCTTGTGCTGCCAGAAGCAGATTTGTGTCATTGTCATGAAAAGTCTTAGGTTCTTAAAACATTTTAAATGCCATATTCTATAGTCCTTGAAAGGTTTGAAAATGCCTATCCATCTGAAATACATCTCTGTACATCTGGAAATCCTAACTAACATGACTACAAGCTTGACTATTATAGATGATTATCTATTAACTTATATTTCTTAATTATACACTACATTTTTAAATGAGCTACACAAACACAATAACTTAATAAAGATCAGAAATACATATACATATAACAAACTTGACCATAAATTTGTATCAATAAAACATGATTCATACCAATGCAAATTATTCATATCTATATTAAGCAGGGACTATGCTTTCATTTTTCAGCTGCCCAGACACAATCACACGGAAACTAAATTAATTATAATACTGTTTGGTACTGTCTTAGAATTCTTACTAGTTAGCTCTATTAAATTAATGCATTTCTATTAATCTGTGTATTGCCACAAGGCTGTGGGTTACTGGTGCAATATGTTACTCTTTTAGCAGCTAAATGACATCTCTCTCTATCTTTGTTCAGATTGCCCACATGGCTTTACTCTGCTAAACCACTGACCAAAATATCATTACTCATTAACTAATAAAGGTAACATATATCACACACAATCCTCTCAACTCATGTACCACTGTTAGTGTGTGTGTTCAGGAAACTCACAGGTTAAATGGGCCATTGTCAATCCATTGCCATTGGCTTTTTCCTGTATTATACGATAATCCAATCCAGTAAGTGCTTGGATTAATTTTGATCTGAAGGAACTTCTGTAAAGAAAAATACATATCTGATGATAGAATTTCCTTCTGTTTCAGAGAAAGAACATCGTAACTCATCTTAGCTATTTTTATGTCAATCCTCTGTTGTCCTTTTCTCCAATCTATTGAAATTCATTTTTAAAATAATTTCTCACTAGTGCCTAATTTGTGCCAAAACCAATAAATTTCAAAATTTACTTTAAAAAGAAATCAGGTATCTAAAAATACTGGATTCATGAAATGATTTGTGACTGTGTTTCTTAGAGAAAGTCACACTGTGTAGCCAAGGCTGTGCTTGAATTCACAATCTCCCTTATTCAGACCCCTAAATGAACATGGCATACCAGCTCCACATGTAATTCTGAAATTATAAAAGTATTCAAGTGAGCCTTTGAATATAGTCAGTTCTGCCAATGATACATGTTTGGATAAGGGTAGCCTAGAAGTTATGATAGTGGCCAATCTAAGCTGTTCCACCCTAAGATACTAAACTATCTGAGTAGCAGGACCCACTTGCTGGAGCACCAGGACCCTAGACACCTAGGATAAAATCAGACAATTGGAGAAAAAGAAGTCAATGTAATAATGGCTAATAATATTTACAATACTCAAAGATTGATTCTTAGCCCAATTGTCTTCAGAAAAACTTCATCTAGCAACTGATGTAAATAGAGACAGAGACCCTTAGCCAAACTTTAGACCAAGCTCACGATAATAAGAGGGAAAGGGATCAAGGACTTCAGAAGAGAAGTCATAGAAATAACTACCCTTTACCCATGAGAGCTCACAGTGTCTGAAGAGACAACCAGGGAGCCTGCATAAGACTTACTGGATTCTTCATATGGGGCAGTTGGGCAGCTTGGTCTTCTTGTGGGACATCTGACAGGGGAGCACGGGCTGTCTCTAACTGTTGCTGGGCTTTGAGACTCTAATCTTTATAGTGGTCCACATTTTCCACGGACTTTTCAACTTTCAGAAAATTTATTTATTTTACTTCTTGTCTGCTGTTTTCCTTCTTACCTCTCCTCCCAACATCTCCCGGCATTTCCTCTTGACTTCTACCCCCAAAACTTTACCACTCCTTTTCTGTTCAGCAAAGAGTAGGCTTCTCGTGGAATCAACAAAAAAATGGGCATACCAAATTGCAGTAAGAACAGACAACCCTGTCCCCTCTGTATTAAGACTGGGAAATGTGAGATGCTGTGCATTAAACTCCATGCTTCAGAGAGGAAGCCATTCTGTGGTAGAATTTGATGAGGAGATAATCTAAAAATCATATGCCAAAATATATTCAGTAATTTTAGTACATTAAATATTTCCAAATATCTTCTTCTCTCATCATGGCAAAGGTTTCAAGCTGATCCTAAAACTGTTTGTCCAGAAAAATATTCTCTGTGTATTTGGATACATTTCTTTAGTAACAAATGTAAACAGAAAATGTGAGAACTTTGATCATTTTGTTTTTAAATACTCATTTCTAGAGATAGATATCATCTTTGAAATTTGAGAATATTATAAAGTAAATATTTTGGCCAGATTCCATGAAAATCACAAAGGGACTAACTAGTTAAAATCATTTATTACATGGATCTTATATAAGTTCCATTTTGGAATTGGGCCCAGAAGTCACTTAATTTCTTGATTGTCATCTAACTGCTCATTTCAGACGGTCTCACTTCTGGACTCCAAGCAGCAAGCACTAAGTTACAGGTAGTGGTGTACCTGTCTCTTTGGAAATAAATAAATGTCAGTCACTGGATATTCTATACCAAAGCATTAAACTTAATCAGGGAAAACATGATTTTCTGAGGGATTCTCTAGCAGATTCTTGAGAAAGGGAGGAAATTACAAAGATGCAGTTGTCTCTTAATATCTACTCTCTTTGTCAAAAACCCTGTGTCCAGACAGTAAGGCAAGAGCAGGAGTCAGTTTCTGGGAAGACTCTTACTGAAGTTTTGCTCACATTACTGTCAAACCATATACAGTCTTGAAGGTTTTACTTTCAAAAACATGCCAGCACTCAGTATGCCAATATTCAAGGGTTAGAGACACACTCCCAGAGAATTGATTAGCATAGAAGAGTCTACGGTACCAGTTCATCATCATCGTCTATCTTCAAAAGGGACAAGCTGCAGTCCTGGCAGGTCCGTATACATCCACTCCAGTCTTTTTTGTCCATGCTGAAATAACATTTTATGTCAGAGCAGAACCAGGATCCGTCAACATATTTGCCTACAACAGAGAGGGTGAATAACTAAACTTCTTATTTTCTGGTATACTGTTATCAGAGAAATGCATTTATTATGCCTCTAACTAAGAAAAGAATCACGGCTCTCAGAAATTGAGATTCTAGCATACAGAGAGACTCCTGTACACCCATGCTTTATGCAAAGCTCTATATATGGAAACAGCTGATGTGTCTATTGTGGATAAATCAGTACAATAATATAGCAGAAGAACACAAAGGAATACTGTTTATCCTTGAAGGGTAAGTAAATCAGCGGCGCATGATGGCTTATTCCCATGACCTGAGCACCCCAGAGAGTGATACAGGAGGGTCACCAGCAGTTTGAGGCCACCATAGGTTAAGTAGTGATGACTTCCAAACCAGCCTTGGTGAGAAAGTAGATTCTAAGACAGCCTGGGCTACAGAGCCTCAACACCCCAACACGACAAATACAGATGAAGACCACTGTGACAAACATAGATGAACTTGAGCATGGTGTGCAAAATGAAACAAACCAGGCCTAAGACCAAATTTTATGACTCAACTCAGATGAGTGTTCTAACACAGTCCAAGTCTAAGAAAGAGAGCTTGAGGGTGGAGAACAAACACTGGCTGTTCAAAGGTTGTTACAAGGATGACAGAATTCTATAACCCTGGGCCCACACTGGTTCACACATACTGTTCATTTAAAGTTGTGCTGTGCTCTATGTTAGATGCTCTTATCTTAAGAGTTATAAGAGACATATGAGAGAGCTTGTGAAGGTGATAGTCTGTTCTGATTGTGTTGATGCATTCAATGGTATGCCCACATACCCAAACATGTCAAGTTTAAAACAATGAAATGTGTCCAGTTAGTGTAAAAACAACACCTCAATACAATTATTTTGTTTATTGAGGAGATTGTGATGGCCATGTTCAATTAACAAACTTTATCTTCAATCTTTGTTTTTTCCTATGAAGAGGTATCATTGTGTAGCTCAGGCTGGCCTGGAATTTGTTGGACTGTTCTCAAATTTACAATCCTTCTGCCTCAGCCACCTAAGTACAGGAATTACAGTGTTAAACTATCATTTACAAAAAACAAAGGCTTTTTAAAAAAATATTAATGATACAAAATGTTTCTCGTGGGTGCGGGATACTTCAAAACACACACATTGTTATTTCTGTGACTGTATCCACCTAAATGCTCTATGTTCATTTTAACCTAAATATTTTGTAAATACACTCTTAATAAAAACTTCATGTTCTGACAAAAACAAAGTGGGATACTCAGATTTTCCCATAAATAAAAATGACCTGAATTCTTGGCTAGGAGGAATTGTAATTTCATGCACTGGTAGCAGTAAGATAATCCTAGAACCCTTGAGTTCTAGATACTGTAAGATTATACTAATCCAAACAAGGATTTCCAGGGTTCTTTACCGCTACATAAAACCTCAACAATTAACCCATAGATCACCAGTGTCAATAGTGGCTAACAGGACTCAAATCTTCTGGAGAAGAATCAATGAGAATAGTGCAATTCCTTATTCAAGATCCCCTCCATACCTGTGAACTTTATGCAATCTGAAACTTTAGTTTCTCCACAGCGTCTATTGCAGGAGTCAAGTTCCTTCTGATGTTTGAGGTCATCAAACTCTCTAGACTTATTGTTCAGTGTTTCTTTCATCAAGGTATTGTTACTTTGTAGGGTTTGATACTGTTGAGTGAGGTTGTTTAGAGTTTTCTGCAGTACATGATTGTTTCCACTATACTGAGACACTAAAATTAATAGCAGATATAAAACCAAAAAATGATCACATGGAATAAGTATTAAAATATAAGATTAGAGAAAAAACTTCAATTTTATACCAACATATGTCATTACTTTAATTTGTACTTTAAAGTTTAGAAATTAACATATCAATTGAATATAAAAATTGAAATATCAATTTCTCTATGTCAGTAGATAGAATTTTACCAGCAATATCAATAAAAAGTAAATGATAGGTACAGTTGAAGGAAACTGTAATGGAAGCACCATACCTACCAATTAATTCACATTTTAACACCATAAAACTTACAAACAAATAACTAAGTAAATATTCAGTGGACACAACACAACATGAAAATGTGAATGAAAAAGCATTAAGGAATGATACAATTCTGACTGGAGTCTTTGGAAATCATAATATCCATATATGTAGCTGTGTTTTAGCCCAGACTGAGAGTGAGTTTATCTAAACATTTGACAAAATCCAAAAACGCTCAGGCTTTAATGTCTCTTTACAAAGGAGGTATTTTCATCTAACAATTCCTTAACATACACAGAGTAAAATAAATAAATGCTCATCATTTCTTTGCATATCTGTATCTCACAGAATGCTTACATTTACATAAGATTCACAATCACCTGAGTTCACAAGACTGACTATCACAAAGTTCTCAGAAGGCAAACTGCCACCACATCGTCAAAAGGAATATGACCAAAACTGAGACAAAATGAGGCAGCTCCTAACAGCCACAGAGTTAATAGGATAGGTATGTAAGAGAACCGGATACTGTAGCATCAGAAAGAAAACATTCAATGTCCAGAACTATGTGGCATATTCCCTATTATAGACAGGACAATGGACAGTGTTAACGGCATAAGTAGTGTCTAAAGTTATTACTTAGGCAGAAAGGCAAAGAGGATGTTTATCAGTTACTCACCATATGCCACCAACACTGCGATGGCCACCAGAAGGGAACAAAGGATTCCCAGAGATATTGCAATGAGGTACCTGGGGACTAAACACTCTTAAATAAACAAAACAAAGCAAGAAAATTATCACCATGAACAGAGCACATCCTTTGTGCTAATTATAATTTTGCATAACATGGCCTCTAAAAATTTTACAGAAGTCCATCTTACAACCTGACTGAACATGTGCTTTCTAAATTGTAGATCTCTCCCTAAAATTTACCTACCGTAGAGATGCTACATTTGCGAAATTTCATAGGATTTAAAACTTTGGCTTTGTATTCTCAATTCTCTGTCTCAACTTAGAAGCAGCTGGATGGCAGACATGTGCCCTGCCTTCCCCAGTTCTACAGGATCAAAAGTGCATACTTCAAAAGGCACTGGAAGGAGAGACACAGTCCAAGTAGAAGACCCCAAACTGGAGCGAGCAGTCCACCAAGTGAGCATAACTGAGGATGAGGAGGGAGGAAGGAAAGAGGGTTGATGTTCTTGAGAACTGTAGAGAAGCTTGGTAGATGGGAGCTGATCTGTACACAGGCTCATTCTTAAAGGAGCCTAAATTTAACTCTCTCCTTTCTTTCCTTAAATCCAATCTTCTTCAGAGAATACTGAACACTTTTGTGTATCTGAGGTTTTGGAAACAAGAAGCCATGCAGCTGATTATCACCTGGTAAAAGAAGTAAAGACTCTCAGCTGGAGTCAATTTGTGACAGTGTGAGCAGACTGCGTACAGAAAAAAAATAATAATAATAGAGCCGGGCAGTGGTGGCTCATGTCTTTCATTCCAGCACTCGGGAGACAGAGGCAGGTAGATCTCTGTGAGATCGAGGCCAGCCTGGTAGACAGAGAGAGTTCCAATGGAGGCTCCAAAACTACAGAAAAACCCTGTCTTGAAAAACAACAAAAGAAGAAAGGAAAAAGAAAATAAAGACTCCTGCTTTTTATTAATGAACTTAATTTTCTTCAACATTTCTTTAAATGCAGTATGATTTAGTCCTCCCCACCCTCACTACCCTCTCCTATCCTCCTCCTCCTCTGCAGCCTTCTACCCAAGAGACTTTCTCATCTGATGGACTATTGTTGCTGCTTCATTGTATTAGATCTTGGGAATGCTTCAGACAGTTAAAGCACCTTATGTTAGAGTGAAAGTATTACTTCTAATCCATGCATTTCATTTCTTTGAGATTCGGTACTCTAGAACATTTGGCTTTCTTCAGACTGCAGTTTGTCTGCTATTTTTAAAAGTTTCAGAATTTTTCTTCACTAAACTAAATTAAAACCTCTTAATTTTTTTTTTCAAATTTGACAGAAAGTATTAACTTCTCACTACTTGATTCTCAAGAACTTTTGCTTATCGACTCCTATTGTTCTACTTCGCCACTAACTAATTACAAGTAGATGTAGAGTTGCATTTTTTCAGTCTATCTGTTTTTATTTTAAATTTGACTACTTTATTTTTTTAACTTGTTTTTGAACAGTTTTGTACATGGTGACTTTCACACTCACACTCACCTCCCTTCTACTCTTGGGCAGCTCAACTGTTTTCAATAGAAGCCAGTAGGATATTGTTTTCAAATGTCAAAAGTTACAAGGCATAAAAACCAAGTGAATTTAAATGTTTAAAACATTTACCTCTGTGAACAGTTTGTCTCGGCCCTTGAGTCTCATCATGCCTTCCTTGGGTCTGCAATTCTGAAGACTTACCAAATCTCACAGATGTGTAAGTGATCTCCTCATCACTCATCTTGATAGTAAGTAAAGTATGCTTTGTTTAAAACCTGACCTTGAGTGATTTCTAAAGAAAAAGGAAAATTTCCACCATTAGGAAGATCCCTGGATCTGATGCTGCAGTGTGATAGGAAGGGGTGGGATCTGATTAACTTCTATAGCAATCCAAACATCCTAACAGGGACTGACCTAGAATTCCACTAGAGGTGAGAAGTGTTTGAAGATTTCTATTAAAGTCATTTATATTGCTATTAGTCACAGTAATTATTATCAGAAAATACAGAATGAATTTAAAAATATACTAATAAGTTATTGTAATATTGGCACAGCCTATTTGTTCAAATATTCAACAAATATAGAAATGTCAGGAAAACTTGGTACCACTGAAAAAAATCACTGAAAAACTTTAACACTAACAATTCAAATAACAAAAAGTCAAAGATTTCTGAATAAATAATTGCTTTTAGCTGTGAGCCTAGCCTTTAAGCACAGGACCTTTCCCTGGCACTTAGCTGGCTTTTAGTAATCTGTTCCCCATGCTGGGTTAACTGTCCATTTCTCAAAGACATGAGGGGAGGAACTCGGTCTTGACTTAACTAGATAAGCCATGATTTAAGCAAGCCCATGGGAGGCCTGTCCTTTTCTGAAAGGAGAGGGAGGAGGAGTGGATGTGGTGGTAGAATGGGAAAGGGGAGAGGAAGGAGGGGAAACTGATTGGTATGTAAAATAAAAGAAAAACTATTATTTAAATAAAAAAAACAAATAAAATTTTCTTTAGATTTAGTTACATATTTTGATAAATGCACAAGTATAAAAATGTTCTTACTGGTTTTTAAATTGTACATGGTTCTCAGTGTATCCGAAAAACCACCCAAAAACAGTATTTAAACCAAGGACAATGGCACTGGGTTTTGATCCTACTGCATGTAATGACTTTGTGGGAGCCTAGTCTGTTTGGATGTTCACCTTCCTAGTACTGGATGGAGGGGGGAGGATCTTGGACTTCCCATAGGGCAGGGAACCCTGACTGCTCTTTGAACTGGAGAGGGAGGGGAAGGGAATGAGGGTAGCTGGACGGAAATGGGAGGAGGTGGAAATTTTTAATTAAATAATATAAATAAATAAAAAAGGAAAAAAAAGTATTTAATGATTAATCCTGATGATGATTAACGTTTTGGGCTACAAGACACATATATATTTTTGGGTTAAAGCCCAAACCTGAGCTGTCCAACCAATCCGCCCATCAATGGTCTATACATTCATCTCCAGGATCAGACCTGGTAAATATAAGAAAGTAGAGATGATCCTACTGAGCGGAGTAACCGAGACCCAGAAAAACAAATGCCACAGTGTTTTTCGTATCTGTGGCTCCTGTCTGAAAGTCTTCAGACATGCTACAAAATCCGAAGTAACTGCAGCAACCAGGAAGGTGGAAAGGGACATTGGAAGGGTGGTGTGTGGTACCAATAGAGAGAAGCATAGCAGGATAAAACCTGGAGTTTAAATGTCAAATCATTTCATGTACACAATAATTTCACATGTTATATTCCAGTATATAATGTTGCCGGACAAGCCTGCATGAAAATAAATTTTGTCATTACGCTGCAGTCGTTAATGCCCATAATGGACTCAATTCTCTCATTCCACTTTTATGTTTGTTTTAAGGATACAACTCAGGCAGTCAGTCAGGCATGTGTAGCGTATGTTACACACGGAGCCATCTTACCTGGCTCCTATTATGACTTCTTCAAGATAAATAATATATAAATATTTGGTGCAGTTAAAGAGTAGTAAACTCCATAGATCCCTCCACCTTATTTTCTTAGCACACAGAAGTCTCTTCCCACTCAGAAAGAAAATAACTAGTGCTGAACTCCAGTTTTCACTTGCTGCCTGAGTCAACCAGATCTAACCCAGGCAATAGGGCTTCCCAATCAATCCTGCTCTCAAGTCAAACCATGTGAAATTCTCTAGAGGACAAAAGATCATGTGATAGAAATAAAACAAAAGCAGCAGTTACCTGTGAATCTGATTAAGTAAACCAAGCCCTGCAAGTGAGGGACAAGTTGAACTTTCCTCCCCGACAAGGTCCTCCCAGAGCTCCAAGAGAAAAGGCAGAACTGAAATGCCTCTGAATGATACTCCAGCTCATGATTGTCAGCCCCTCCTCCTTACAGAAACTGTAAAGAGGAAACTGCATGATGAAAGCTGATGCTGACAGAAAGGAAAGAACCAACATATCATGTCAGATGCTGCAAATCATATCCATAATCAATATTTAAAAGCTAAGGTGAACATACCTGTGAGGGAGTGAAACCAGTGTCCTTAGCAAAACCAGTAGTAAAGAGAAGTGACTGATATTCCTCCACTCTTAATTTTATAAAAGGCTGTTGGAAAATTTTTCTTTTGCAACTATTGGAAAAAAATGTATTTCTTGTTTTTTAATTATGTTTATTATAGCTGAAATATGTTTTAAGATTCCTTTAAAGCGCTCACTTTAAAATCACTCCGCTGTGAAACTCTTGCTGTATATTCTTTTTTGCTTTTCATTCATAGAGAATGTTTACTGGGAATGTTGATGTCATTTTGTACGGAGGAGATTTTTGGGGGTTTTTTGTTGTTTTTATTTATTTATTGCTTTTGTTTGTTTGTTTGTTTGTTTGTTTTCTGACTCTTTGAGACAGGCTTTCTCTGGTTAACTGTTCTAGCGGTCCTGGAACTCACTTTGGTTTTTTTTGTTTGTTTGTTTGTTTGTTTCTTTCTTTCTTTCTTTCTTTCTTTCTTTCTTTTTCTTTTCAGTTTTTTGGGACAGAGTTTCTCTGTAGCTTTGGAGCCTATCCTGGAACTAATTCTTATAGACCCGGCTGGCATTAAACTTACAGAGATCCACCTACCTCTGTCCCCTGAGTGCTGGGATTAAAGATGTACTCCACCACCACACCTGGAACTCACTTTGTAAACCATGCTGGCCTTGAACTCACAGAGATTCAACTGCCTCTAACTCTGGGATTAAAGGCACTTGTCACCACTTCCAGGCCCATCTAGAGAAGTTTTATTCATGGTACTGGGACATCAAATCTAAGACACTGAGCATGCTCAGCAAATGCTTTATCACTTAGCTATAGACATAGACTCTTTGTTTTGTTTTGTTAGTTTTTTGATTGGTTAATAGTTTGGTTGTATTTTTTGAGACTGTTGTTATATTCATGCTATGTAGCACAATCTGACCTCAAATTCACAGTCCTCTCGATTTGTCTCTTCAGTGCTAGGATTATAGTTGCATAATACTGTACCAATTTATACCATGTTTTTGATTTATATTTTCTAATAATCAGTTCACATTTCTATATTTCATAAATATTGATATACAAGATTTTAAAGCAATATACAATTATCAATCAGTTTTACATGGCTTTAATTAGAAATATCTGCTGCTGATCATTCAAGTTGTTTTATAATAGTTTGTTGTTAGTTTAAAAACATGTAATATACTTTAAAAAATACTTAGACATTTTATTCATGAAGTAAAGGAATTAAAGTAGATATACTTTTAAGGAACTCTGGTATAGATTATAATACTCCCGCTTGTTAAGTTATATAGTCTATCATTTAGTATACACAATATTCACAATTGATAATTTTAGAGATGAGATATGGTGAAATTTTCTTCTATGTGAGTTTTGCTTTTGGCTTTGTGAATGATGATTTCTGGAAAGAAATTGTGTCAGCAAAGACAAATGCTGATTAAAACTACAATGCAATTGAGAGGACGTTGTAGATTTAGGGGTTATTTACCTTATCACAGGCTATGTTTAGCCCCCTAAGTAGCCTTTTTTGTGCACTGTGTCAGAACTAACATCCTGTGACTAATAGATAAAAAATTTTTTTAATGATATCAGCTTAGCAAACCACTAAGTGCAACAACCTGAAAGCAAGGAACTTCATCTGATGACCTGTACAAAAGCTTCCATCTTTCTGTAACCACATCTCTGATGTGGCCACCAATGTATGCTGAATTTGCCTTGATGTATAACTTTCTCTGTTCTGATTTATTTAATGACACAAAGTAACTAACTCCAGATGTATAAATAAAGCCTTCCAGAATACTCAGAATTTAGATTCAATGTGAACTCAGAAGGGCCTGCATTTTAGCTTGCCACAAGCATGAGATTGTACCTGGAGAAACATGAGTGGAAATACCAATTAAGCACTCTGACTTCAGATAACTTCGATCATTCACAAAGTCTTTGACCACAGCAAAAAAGAATTATAACTTCTTTTCAGGCTTGCTGTGATTATTTAACAAGATATTAAAATGATTTTTTGTTTAGTTTTCTTTAAGGCAGAGTCTCACTATGTACTCCTGGCTGGCCTGAAATTTGCTATGTAGAACTGGCTGTCCTCAAAATCATAGTGATTGCCTGCCTCTGTTTAAAAGTGTTGGGATTAAAGGTATGAACCACCACATCAGCTTCACAAATAAAAATTTTAATCATAACCTGGAAATGGATAGTAGGCTTTCATTCAACATGAAACATTATATTTAAAGTCCCAAATTCCAGTTGTTCCTTACCACATAAATTTGAACAAAACACTGAATCTTCAAACCTGTTTTTTTTTTTTTACATGGTTATCTAGAGAGTGTGTTGTCTAATCTCTAGGGTTGGAATAACGGCCATCAGGAATATAGACAGAAGCACTTAGATTTCTAAAGAACATTTTTTATGCTTTCTAGCCAGTGGAAACTTCTCTAAGCCACAGTACGGTCTACATTTTCTACCTGACCTTGTCAAAGGGTGAAGGTGTTTGGAAGAACAGGATAAAGATGGCAGATGAGCCAAAGAGAAGAACTGAGAGATCCACTGCTACTCTAGAAAATCCTTGTTGTTGCCATCAGATCCAGGCTTTTATGCCACACTCCCTCGGAAATGTTAATGGTGCTGAGACGCTTTTCCATCCTTATCTCAGCTGAGAGGTTGTCATACCTACCACTGGGACTAACCACATGCAGGGCATGTTTCCTTATGTTTTCTACATATTGTATGCCTCCTCTAACATCAGGCAAAATCTGTGAGCAAGAACACCAGATCTGTTTTGTTCGTTATTATGACTGAAGCATGAACAGGAGATGCCTACCAGTGTGCTTGATGAAGGAGGAGTCAGTTAACAATAACTGAACACAGAGTGGGTAACTTTTTGATTCTGGACATAGACAGGAGGAGGCCAAGTCAAAGAGCTGCAGTTTCCTCTGAGTACTGTACAACTAAGCTCTGAATTTCTAGGGGAAAAAAAAAAGTAAAGTGTTAGTAAGCAAAATTTGCATTAGAAGATAACATCACGTTAGACATAACTGATATACAGTTCCACGGAGGTTCATTGGTTAAAGTCCAGAACAAAATATGAAATATCAAAATTCACCTCAGCAAATTAATAAAACAGATAATGAGAAACCCAAAGAAATACTTTGTTTCCTTGAATTTTGTATTCTAAATTTATTTTTGTGCCTAATAACCCACACATACACACTCAAATATATATTCATCTTCCTGGATTGTTTGATGTAAATTTCTTTATTTGAAAAAACACAACTGCCTGTTCCTTTATATCGAGAGAGATTCAACCCTAGTTAGACATTCAAACCTTCTAGTTGGATCCCCAGACATCAGTGCCATCATCATTTTACAACTACAAGCTGTTTGTCCTGTACTAGGCTGAGGTGAAGGACACCTGCAGTAGCCACATTCCCACAGGAAGAATGAGCTGAATCACTGTCTTCACCAGGAAGACTAAATAATAATGATCAGCTTCACACCTCTTAGTATTTGTCTTAAGGTAGTCCTTTCGTAATACTAAAATATGGTAAATTTCACAGCTTATAAAAAACAAAAAGAGCACTATTTTGAGATTTCCTGTGTCACTAACCACACCCCATGTGTCCTACTATCTACAATTATAGAAGTTATAATTCTGTATTATCATGCCTACTCGCATCGTCCTTGGTGGGCCACAAGCATTGAGAGCAGGGAGATGAGAAAGGTGCATCAGGAACTCAGAATGAGTTGGAGAATTCAGACAGATATCTGGCCTTTCAAAACTCATGAATAAAATTACTTATGGAAAACACAGTTAAACACCAATTCATAAGGATTTTGTTATTTTTTCCCTATCCTCTCACTATATCATAGTTCAGAAGAGAGACTATAAGTAGCTCTCCAACTCCACTCTGTGTGTTGTAAAGAGGCTGCTTATTTGTACTTAGCTGTTCAGCCCTGAAATAATCACACAGAAACCATAATATTTGCAATACTCTTTGGCCAATAGATTAAGCATATTTCTGGATAACTAATATCTTTAACACATCTCCATTAACCTATGTGCCATGAGGCTGTTCCTTACCGAGTAAAGTTCTAGAATCTGTCTCTGGTGGGGTTACATGGCTTCTCTTGACTCCACTGTAGTTTAGTTTTAGTTAATCCTGCCTAGCTCTGCTCTACCCTATCACAGCCTCAAATACACTTCTTCATTAACCAGTGGTATTCATAGCCTGCAGTGGGGAATCCCACATTATCTGTAGAGTCAGAAGACTCAGTTTATCCTCCTCAAAACACTCTTCTTTTTAAGTTTATTTGTTTTTGTTTGTTTCTGGTGAGTAGGCTGATTTAGTTCAGGATGACCCAGAACTGACTATGTAGCTGAGACTGGCCTGGACCCTTGATTCTCCTCCCTCCAAACTGTGAGTTCTGTGATTACAAGGTGAGCCACTGAGTGCAGCACCAACATTGTTCATGGCAAACAGGGTACTAAGCCAGAACCTGCAATGAACAAAGCCACCAGCTGTCTGAATACCTAACTAAATCAGCATTACACAGTAAATAAATAAACAATATAAACTCTAGTGGTACCACTTAAGTGAAAAAAAATCAGCAAATAATTATTAGGTAGATAGGATGGCACTGTTCACAATTGTTATAAGATTATAATGTGTTTTTTTTTTATTGAGAATAAGAAAAAAAAGTTTCCGCCTCCTCCCAGCCTCCCATTTACCTCCCCCTCCCCCCACTCTTCTCC